TCATTTTATCGAGACGCATCTCCTGCCAGGCGCGTAGCAAGCCAATTTTTTTCGTGTAAGCCTGATACGTTGCAAAGCTTTATATTTAGATAGTATTGAGAGCTGATCCAACTTTATTAGCAACAATCATGTGTAAGCCCGGGCTTTTTTTATGATGTTAGCTACGCCCCTACTTGGAAAAAACACACACTGAAGATTCAGTTATAAACATTCGCCGCCTACAACAGTTTTATACATACCGAGCTATATATTAACCAATATGAGTGAACCGACTGACAGACGACTTTATGAGTGACAACTTCTTATTCATTGCATAAACCTTATGGCCAGGAATAGAGATTCACAATTAGCATCTAATCAGCAAGTTTACAATTTAATCCTTTCTGTATATTTGCTTCACGACTTGTGTGTGTGTTACCCGTTATCTATTATACAATTATTGACTTCTAGTGAGGTTGATCCAATGACTTATCGACCTAGCTATGACATGTGATATTCACCGAGACGAATATCACATGACCAAGGTCGATAAATCATTGGATCAACCGAACTGAAGTCAATAATTGTTTTATATTATGACAAAAGTACTGAATACCTGTTCTTCTGCCACATAGCATACTACCGATGGCACCGCACATTAGGTGCAGCCATTTTGATACAGATGGAACGTAACTCTAAACCAACACAGTCACAGGGACGAAGCGATGCCTATCGCTTCCTTATCTAGCGTGACGCACGTAGTGCGGAGTTCACAGCTGGAATATCCCAAATCTATTTTTAGCCACGGGAGGTTCTTGGATTGTGATATCAACCTCTCGCGCCGTTTCGAGGTTGACAAAGCTCAAAGCTGTTGACAAAGGTTGACAACGTCAAAGCTGCCATGTGACCAAGTGGGCCAATCAGCAGGGCGGAAATCTACCCGTCATATAATAAAACTTATTGTTGTTACATGTAGTGCAGTACTGCTTGTCACTACATACCTCTCATTGCCTGGTTGTAGTCACATTAATCGCAATTTAGCTCTATGGATTAACAAGACCTTGTCGTATGTCTCGTCCTATCTAACGATCAGTTTTGCTGCAAGCGATATAATGATATCTTAAGATCAAATGCTATATCAGATATCATGATACCTTAAGATCAATTGTTCATATATAGTTCATGTCTTTGTATACAAAAGATGACCTACATGATATGGTATATATAGTAAAACGGTGTCTATATATTTGTTCTTTTGGGTTGTTAATAGTAACAATTATCATTTTTCTTCTCTTATTATAACAAAGAGACAAAAGTATGCATTGTAATCAATGTAATTAAACCACAACAGCTGATCTTACTTACGTGAAATAGTGTGCTCCTGTTATGTCCTTTCAATGAAGAGGTTTGGTAATATTAGTCGACAATGTCTCTATTTGAGGTAAAAGATTTTATACTATTCTTAGATAAATTCCATGGAGCACCATGGGTGCAGATATATTGATAACACAATCATTCAATCAACACGCGAGTCCGCTGTCATCACATGCGAACATTACGTGACTTAACGTTATTTGTACCCAAGAAATCCCTCATCATTTTCAAATTATTGGAACATTAAGTTACATTTTGATCAATCTTGCTACCAACTATTACAGTACGTTTTATCATTCCTTCAAAACTACGCAGCAGTTGACAGATCGAGATATATCACATGTTTACTCACAAAATGGTATTTTTATACAAGAAACACATTATCATTTTCAAACTATTGGAACATTGTAGATAACTTTTATAACAAAATTTTTATCCTTCCTTTAAAAATACGTATCATCATTTATAGATCAGGATAGAAATGCATCTCACATTGACTTTATGCATCTAAAATACTCCAAATTATGGATACACATAGTATGTTTGTTTCAATGAGATCTTTGCAAGCAAAAACCTAATTGCTGTAGATTGTTGATGCGATACGACTTAATTCCCTTCCTTCAAAACCTACTAAACCTAACCAACCGCATAATTGTTTAATAATTATTTCTATCAATCGCAACACTACTCAACTGTAGTAGTTGATTGGTTGATGTTACAGGCCACACACAGCATTATTCCAGCTACATTGTATATGGTGGCGGTCTGTAAATAATCGAGTCTGGACCAGATAATCCAGTGATTAACAACTTGAGCATCGATCTACGCAATTGTGATACGATGACATGTGTCAACCAAGTCAGCGATCCAGATCATCTGATCCCGTTAGTCGTATGGGTTTGCTGGAGCCCAATTCTAATCCGGATCTTCACTGGTGATAACTGTTATGAAAATCCAATTAGGTCCTTAATTCCTGCATAGTAATGCGGAAAATCTGAGCACATTTTCAAACCGTTTAATCCATATATACACATCTTTAACACATCAACAGTAATCAGGGAATAATTGAATACAAAAAACAGCAACTGGATATTATTGTGTGATACACAAATTGGGAAAGAAAACAGAACAGACACTAGCATATAAACACATGATAATCTTTAGTCAGTTTGATGTTTGAATTTCAGTGACTTACCTCGTGGTCAAGGTTCATCTTAAACCATACTGCATGTATACCATTGCTAAGGTCATACCACTAGAGTCGGTTTCCTTCAGGCGGGTATTGACACAATGTGGTGCTATTATTACTGCAGAACTAACATAGGGCGTACATGTGTGGAGCAAATATGATGGTATCTTTCTTTGTGGCTATTTCAGTAATGGTAGGGACTGTAACCGTTTAAAGTAGTACAGTGCACCATCCACTGCAGTCCGTTTGAGTCAGAAACGGACCGATGAATTGCAAATTTTATCATTGTACAAAATTGCTACATGAATATAAATAGTACACATGTTTATCATTTACTAATACCCAAAAGCTTTCTTATATTTGATACTTATCGTATCGTGACCCCAGTATCGAGATATGTATCGTATCGTGACCCCAGTATAGAGATAGGTATCGTATCGTGACCTGCGTATCGACATATGTATTCTGCCGTGACCTCAGTATCGAGATATATATCGTATCGTGACCTCAGTGTCGAGATACTATCGTATCGTGACCCCAGTATAGAGATAGGTATCGTATCGTTACTTCGGTATCGAAATATGTATCGTATCCTAGCCTCAGTACCGAGATATGTATCGTATCGTGACCCCAGTATCGAGATACGTATTGTATCGTTACCTCCGTATCAAGATAGTGATGGGGTTACTTCGTTTTCATGTTAAAAGATTACATGCACCATGTGATATTTCAATGGATACAAAATCTATTTTTCCATTATCGTCTATTTTAGCCGTATTATCCCGGTAGGCTAATACAATAAAATAGAATTATTCGGGAGTAACACTTAAACATAGATTTGGGCTTTAATATTTAATGTGCCAAAATGTGGCTAACAATGAAATCCATGCAAGGACAGTATGACAAATAACTTAGTACCCAATCCGATCATGGGTAGAATCACAGCACTCTTCGTCACTTGCACCAACTATGGGGAAATGCGTTTCAGGAATAGCAAAAATAAAATAAAAATAAATAACAAGCATACAAAATATAAAAAATACAATGCCGATTTTCTATCAGATTTAGTGGTAGATGATAAGTGTTCTTTGATTCTGATATTTATGGGCCGGGAGGTTTCGCCTACATAGGCCTCGCCACAGTCACAGTTGATTTTATAGACAACACCTTTGGGTTGATGTTGTCGTTTAGAGGTGTTCCTGCCATTAGCTTTCAGTAGGGTTTTTAGTGGTGTAGAGCTGGTAAAATAGGTTTCGATGCCTGCTTCTTGCTTCAGGAGACGGCTGATGTGGTGAGAGGTCTTCCCTATGAAGGGGAGGGAGATACGAATAGGTGCTGGTTCAGGTTTGTTGGGGGCCGGTTTTCTTGTTGGGTGGAGTGTGGTGCTGATAATTTCATAGACTAGTTTTGACGGGTAGTGATTGAACTTGGTGAAAACATGGCGGAGGTGCTGTATTTCTGTAGTGGGACTGGTGGAGAAAGGTTGATGGCTCGTCTGGTGAGGGTGGAGATAATGCCAGTTTTGGTTCTCAAGGGGTGGTTGGAGTCAAAATGAATGTATTGGTCGGAGTGGGTTGGCTTTCTATAGACACTGGTTCAGATCTTGTTGGCTGGGGTTCTGGTTACAAGGACATCTAGAAAGGGAAGCTGACCACTGGATTCTGTTTCTAAGGTGAATTGGACCCGGGGGTGCTGTTGGTTGAGGTGTTGCAGGAGGGCTGCTTGGTCTTGGTCTTGCCGAAGGATGACAAACGTGTCATCGACCTTCCTATACCAGCAGGTTGGTTTGATGGTTGAGGTGCTGAGTGCTTGCTGTTCGAAGGAGGTCATGTAGATTTCTGTGAGTATTGGGAACAGAGGGAGCCCATGGGCAGGCCGTGGAATTGTTCATAGTAGTCGTCTCCCCAGGTGAAGTAAGTGGAGGTGATGCAGGCAGAGGTGAGGGCAATGATGGAGTCAGTGGTGAGGTTGGTGTCAAGGGGGGTTTGGAGAGTTTCTTCTATGGGGACACTTGTGAAGAGGTCCACAACATCGTAACGCAGGATCTGGTCTGCTTCAGTTATTTTGAGGAGTTTGTTACAGAAATCCGTTGAGTCAGAGATGAAGGAGTCCGCTGTTTTACCGAGTGGGGCAAGGATTTCCGTTAGGTGCTGGGCGGTACTGTAGAACACAGTGTCTCTAGAGCACACAAGCAGTCTGGCCTTGGGTGGGGTCTTGTGGATTTTTTATCGTGGCTCTGGCATACGGTGGCTGTGGGTTGGATGTGGCTAGTTTGTAATATAGTTGCTGGCTGATTGCGTACTTCTCTTTCAGTTGTTTGAGGCTGGCTTTATGTTGGCGGTTGAGTTAGGCAGTGGGGTCTTTCTTGATCTAATCTTATGTGTACCTGCGACGCATCCGTTTTCTCACAGACGAATATTGATCTATTGCATGCAGCGCTTAAGATTATTTCCACAGCATTTAATTTCAGTTCTACTACGCACCACCGTTTGTAAACACATGTACAACAATGCTGTTGGTGGAAGATGAGTCTGGACACTGAGGTACGTTACTGAGTATAAAACGTTAAATGATAAAGATTTATTTTTCAGAAATTCAAACTCTCCGCTGTTTTAGTCTATGTTCGAGTATTAATGTTTTGGTTTAAGTTTGTTGTTTAATATTCAGCAGTGTTCCCTTATATGACGGCGGAAAATTCTGAAAATAATAAACCAGACAAAGCAAGTAGTCAACATTATGAGCATCGATCTACACAATTGGGTACTTAGAGCTTTTTACATTTACTCTTCACGGCAACGGACATTCCCGCAATATAGGGTAAAGTGACACTAACCTATAGCATCGTAGTGTGCCAGAATTGAAAAACCAGTTTTGCGTAGTTGCCATTTTGTGTACTCATAGTACAGTAGAACATCCAACCATATCTTACCTGCTGATAATCTAACAATACGCAGGATCAAATACAATGTAAAATGATGTTTATAGAATTGTATAAACATAATAAGCATCTATAAATAATTGTCGCCTAAAATCATGCTCCTTATGATAAGGGCACTACCTTTGATGCACCTGCAATTCTTTTCAGATGACTGTTTAATGAATATATCTTTATGCTATGATAGTCCAGTCAATTTATGCGCCAACGTGCAATAAAACTTGGACAAAGTACTGTGACTGTGTGTCTTAGTCCACCCAGTTGTTAATGGGTACCTCGGTAGAATGGGAAAACAACATTAAGTCGGCGTGCCTAGTGATCCCCAGGGAGTTGAGATTGAAAATACGATGTGCCGTTGAGATTGACATCCAATGGTCAAGGGAAAAACAACTTCGGTAGCGCCTCGGAGTAATCTAGAAGTAGTTCAAATAGGGCACTATAGAAATGTCGAATATAATAATAATATAATGATATTATTCTATATCAACACATTTTCATCAGATGCAATGATGAAAAACAAGTCATTTAATGATTGAAAGTTATGTAAGAGAGTTCTCTATTACTCAACTTCATAAATGGTATTTCATTATGAATTACCTGAGTTCATTAGCTAATCTTCTTTGACTGACATGGCAATGCCCTTTTTTCAATTTACTTTACAATTCATTAGTTACACTTCCTTGACAGAATGGCAATGTCCTTTTCCAGTTTACTTTACAACAGTTCTCTGATTGCATCATCCATCGCTGATCTGTTCTGCTGTTATTGATTCAATGGGCTAGTTGAATAATTTCCCTGAAACATAGAACGTCCTGAAAACTTTTCATGGCAACAAGCTTTTCCAATTCCATGGATTCTTGATGTCGTATCACAGCCAAAGACAGCATGTATGAACAAGTTCTGACAAGCGTCTTCTCCATGCTTCTTCTTGGTTTCGCTGATATTCCAAACTGGAATTCTTTTCAAAGAACCTTTCTTGGGGGTTGACAGCACGAAGATATCATGCGATTCCAGTAGATCCCTTTGACAACTGTTGATGTCGTGCCAATGAAGCTGCTGTTTGAACTATCACAACATCAGCATCACCAGTGGCCTGAACTGTGCCACATCCTTCAGCTTGGTGATAGGAACACATCATGACGAACTGTTCTTGTTCTGAACAGTGGCGAGGATGACTCTTTCTTTGGTTGTAAGATCAGACTGTAATGAAATTTAACTGTTGGTCTGACAAGTCCACCAGTCCGCCTCATATGTGTTGTATATTTTCTCGATGAACTTGAGTATCCATCGAACACAACAATAGCTCTGTCATTGTGTATTTTGACATATGTGCAGTACATGATGCACAACTCAGCATAGGATTCTCCACGTGGTCAAGGTAGAGTATGAAGCAAAGCCCTTCCATCGAGAACATAAACAGCATCAGAAGCTGGACCAGGGGAAAAACCACCATCCAATGTTGATATGAATGAAACCAGGGCAGGTTTGTTTGTTTCCTAGCGGCAATCAGAAACAGTTGAAACACTAAAACTGGACCAGATTTCTTCTTATTTCTTATTCATTTGTACAACTTGATCTTCCTTTTTGAGACACATGAAGGTTTCGAGTTAGAATATTGATTTTCAGTAACCCATGCTTGTCGAAAGAGGCTTGTAACGGGATCGGGTGGTCAGGCTCGCTGACTTGGTTGACACATGTCATCGGTTCCCAATTGTGCAGATCGATGATCATGCTGCTGATCACTGGATTGTCTGGTCCAGACTCGACTATTTACAGACCGCCGCTTTATAGCTGAAATATTGCTGAGTGCGGCGTAAAAGTAAACTCACTCACTCCTTTTTGAATTTGAAATTGCCAGTGGTTGTGTTTGTCATAGAGTCCAAAATAGAGCTACCAACACAACATGCATCATCTGCATTCACAGTTGCACTCTATATGCAGTGTTTCTTGAAGGAAATGGAATAGTTTCATGCCAACATTTTGGTCTCTCTCCTGTCTTGCATTGGACATGTCTTTGTGTAGTTCAGAGGTGTTTTCTACTACTTGTAAGATCAGTCATGGCATTGCTGACTTCCATGCATGATGGCATTGACATAAGCCTTTGCGTTTCAGACATGCCTGTCCCCCTTGTAATTCCTCCGTTTGTCTTAATGCTCCGCATGAGCACCTGTTCAATCACAAGATCTGTTTAAGGTCCTCCCCAATAGCGATCGGAACGGCATAAAACATGATGATGTGAGTTGAAAGGTCTTGGGATGTGTTCCTTGCAGGGAAGTCATCAACTGAACGTACAACTGAACTGATTTGGTATACAAGTTATGACAATAGACTTTAGGTGCATCTTCCCATTTCCTAATGTTTCAGCTTTAATGAAATTCCGCAAGATATCTACCATGTTCATATACTGGATCCAAAGTTTCGCTGTCCTCATATTGCTCAGTGCATCTTTTTCTTGGTTTAACTGATGGTGAATGTTCTTTATGTGTTTGAAGAAGATACTTCACCAACAGTCAAGGATTCACTCACCAGCTCATTGTACAGCACTGCCGCCATGTTGAGATCGTCACCATCGCTGTTTTGAAGGGGAGTGGCAAGGTCAGCTTCATCAGAAGGCTTACAAAACCTAGGAAGGTTCACGTTAAAAGCTCTTGATACCAACAGTGCACTGAGAGCTGTGGCTACAAGAAAGTGAGCTCGAATTGCTCTGGCAACAGCTTTCCCTGTTAGTATGTAACTAATTGTGTAACTGGCATATATCACTACCAGAAGTTCAAATAGACCCTATCCAGACATGATATTTCGAATCCATCCCAAAAGGCGACGTTCTTCAAATCCCTTGATGAAGGCTCACTGGAAATTTTCATTCAAGCTTTCCGCCAGAGAGGCTAATCAAAAGTGACGATTGGTGTTACATTGTTTTCCATGGCTTGTGTGGTGACAAGTCACTTGGGCTCATGTCAATCAATGTTAGTGAATTAAAATTTATAGCACCTCAGCTGCATTTCTAAATGTTTGTTTTTATTTTTTTAAATATAAAAGTACAATGTTTTAAAATTAATAAAACATTGTTTTTAGCAGATATTTATTTTTACATAATCGTAGCATACACATACATGTGGATGTCTGAAACGATTTTCATATTTTTCAGAACGTTTTTTTAAAATAAAACAAATATGATGAGGCTAATACCTATTAAATCATATATCTTTGAAAAGCCTGTAAACAGAGCTTTTATTTGATATATAACATGACACAATTGAGTAGATTACAAAAAAGTTTGCATTTCCATCTAAGATTTCGAAAGCGAAGATGACCCCTATGACCTTGAGGGTCGAATTTGACCTTGTTCCACCACTGAGATTTTCCTAGACTTTTTATATGTTATAAAGGAATGGTTCAGGGTCTTAAAACAGTTGAAATCATTTCTGTTGCAATTTGTGGTGGGTTAGGTCAGAATCTTACCAGGATGACTGGACTAGCCCTGAATCATCACCAAATCACTTCTCCTACGGCAGGTGATCGCTCCCCACATCGTAACACTATCCCGGCCGAATCTGTGCACCTGGGGAACGCAAGCGTCGGCGAAACGATCACGTCGACGTCTGTACACCCGCATTCTTCCATCGCGTTGTTCCAGTAGAAATCATGATTCATCACTGAACCAGATTCTACGCCAAATCGGTAAGTTCCAGGCCTGAACGTTGGTGCACCATTGAACTCGATGTCGACGATGTTGTTGTCGAAGCACAGGGCCAAAATAAGGTCTTCTGGCACGTAAACCAGCCTCTCTCAACCTGTTCCTGACGGTCTGTGCAAAAAGCCTCCTCAATCCGGGTATTTGTCGAGCGGTACTGGTCGCCGTAGCTGTTCGATGACGCAGGTGATGTACCCGGATGTAGCCGATCCTGCGCCGCAGTGGTCGCTCGAGGTCGCCCGCTACGAGGGGCATCTGCTACCGAAATTCTGCCGACGATTTCTCCCAAAGCAGTGAAATGGTGTTTTGGTGAAGATTCATGCGTCTGGCAACTGCACGTTGAGACTGGCCAGCTTCAAGAAAACCAATGGCGATATGATTGTTGGCTTCACAGAGGTGGCATTTTGCGTTCGTCGACAATATTCCAAATACAGTGAATAATCGACAGACAGCGATCAACCTTTCATACCCATCATTGAGACTATCTGATCCCCAACTTTCACGTGCATTGCATGTGAATTGTGTATTCTGTGACACTACACGCCGAAATTGAAAATCATACTGTTAAATACGGGTATTTTACGGATGGTGCGTTTTGTTGTGATGTTTCAAAATATAAACACCATAGGACTCATAAACAGAGCAAAACCTTTTATAAAATGAATCACGTTTTAATTCATTGCTACATGAAATTGCTATTTTCATGATGCGGGTGTTTTTGGGAGAGTATATTTTGACAAACTCTCTAGTTTTGGCTTGTCTTGGTTTGGCCTAATAAGCTAGCGGACATTGTCAGGGTATGTTTTTCTATTAAGCAAAATGCGGTGTAATCTCTCAAAAGCGCCACCACAGACACGAGAAATTTGTGGCCGTGCACTTAAAAGGATTATTATAGTTGTAGGATGTTCCTGTATCACGATTGCTTAAAATTACCGTCAAGTGATTGTCTACAAAACCCGATATTGAACTGAGTTTTGTGATAAATTACGATATTGACTCGCAAGCTCGGTCGATATTGTTTTACTCAGGTCAATAAAAACCGATATCGACCTCTACAAGAGTCTATAATTGTATAATGTATCTATCATGGTATCTAGTGGTATCTATCATGCTTGTGTATCAGTGTTTTTCGGGCAGTTGTATAGTTGTGGTAGTTGTATGTTATTCTGACTTCTGAGGTGTATAATTACGTTATAGGAAGGCGTTTCCTATTCTCCCGGTACTTACGGATATCGGCTGAAAAAATAACACAAACAATTGTTATCCTGTTCATGCTTGTTGTTTTTAAATGAAGGGCCTTCTCGTCTAACATCTACATCTATCAGCTGCCAGATCCTTCAGGTGAATTACCACTCGTGAGCCCGGTGATAAACAATGCCATCCGTCATTGACGAAACGAGGCTTCTCCCATTCTCGCGGTATTACCAGGAATTAACGTTCTTGAGTGTATGTAAGAGCAATCCTGCCGGAAAGAGCGGAAAAAAGTAATGATATGTCCAAGTTGGTATAAACTCCCCAATATTCGTGACACTGCAAGATTATGATCACTCACAGACTTGGGCCACTTCCTAGTTACCAGTCGGTGATGTAAACAAGTGTCGCGCATCTGCGATTTCGGCAGAAAACGTGTTTACCGCGAGAATAGGAAACCCGCGAGAATAGGAGACTGACCTATATACCTCTGAACCGATTAGCGCAGCGGCACCGTCGCGACGGTAAATAGTTCGTTTTTAAAATCTTAATAACGCGGTTATGTTAGACTGGAGATAACATACAGTGTTGGAAAATCAGAGGTATATCACGAAGTTATAATAACTCCAACTTTTTATTTAAAGCTATTATAATTTCGTTATATACTTCTGATTTCGAACACATTATGTAAATAATCTAAGTATAATGTAGTTATAGGCTGTCATTATGTGTGATTGGGGTTTGGTATGTAATATACACATGGAAAAGACTATCACAACACTTATGACTTTTATCCTACATACAGCCATTTGTATCCATATCATACTTATATCACTTAGTTTGTATGATTATTTGTACGCACCACACATTGATTTTAGACATGCACGTGCGAGCATCACTCGTGCCCGTCATAAAGCAACTGTCAAGTTTCAATGAACTGTTCCTACAGGTCGGTAAGTTGTTGATAAGTAAATGTTGTGCCTCTTCAGCTGGCAACTGACGGCAGGTTATTGATGTGCAGAATGCTGGCATATCATCGTGGGTTATTTCAAGCGATTTTGGTTGTCATCTATAGACAATCAACCGATTGGCCAGAAACCGTTAGCAAACTTAAGAACAGTCAGAGTTCGACTACGAGTGACAGCTCCAAGGCATGATACAACTCTTCCCAGAATCACATGAAATATTTCGTCTACCGCGTGAAGATCCAGGGTAGAATTTGTTGTCAGCAACCCATGCTAGTCGTTAGAGGCGACTAACGGCGGAAGGTTCGCTCGCGTTTTTGACACATGTCATTGTATCCCAATTGACCAGCCACTGGGCTCGTGTTTGGCACCGCATAACAACCTGTGTATGCACAACTCTACCGTGGTCCGTCAGGAGTCAATCCCTTAGAATATATTTGAGACACTGTGTGTTGCAGAACACGCGCAAGAATTTATCCAGTACAAACTCTTACTGTATTGAAACCAAGCCCTCTATCAAGCATGGAATGCAGCACTTCATCGTCAAACCTAACGTCTAATAGTCAGTAAGAAGGAGGGTCAGGGATGTTATAGCAGTTGGTGGAGTTTACACCAGATATTGACATGCTTTCTTGAGGATTGTATGAGCATCTTGAAAATGCCCGTACGTATCACCGCTACAAAAAGTGTTCTCTGAATAAACTATAGTTTGTCGTTCTTTCTACAGGTATATTTGCCATTTAATTATACGTTTCCTTGCTCATTGTATCACGTTGATCCCATTAAGAATGTGGAGTTTTGCGATACTATTTTCATATGTATATAATCACGTTACGGGAAAACTTACGTCAGAGGAATTGTTAGTTGCTGCTTGCTTATTGGCAACAATTGTGACTAAATAAAGTCGTTAGTGGTTCAATAATTCATGCTTTTCATGGGCTTGGATGATCAAACTTGGATGCGGTGCGTGATTACCTTGAATTGTTTGTAAATGATTGATTCATAATAAGGATTCTGATTCGACAGATCATTCTCTGGGATATTTTACCAGAGTATCAATAATATTAGAACAGTGCATGAACCAGGCAAACTGTTATCAAACGCAGTCGCCGTGACGATAGCGATCCGCTTTAAAATTGATTTTCGGCAACCAATGCTTGTCGTATTTCAACTGTGTAGATCGATAACAATATATCAATAACTGAAATGTCTGGGCATTCCCTGAGAATGAGACAAAGGTTGTGAAACCTTTCGTTTAATAGCGCTTTAAACGGTTGAACATGACCGTCCCTGGAGATCTTTACAGTGTCAAATAATTTATTGAAAGGTCGTGGTGGGAGCTGGAAACGCTGCTGGGTCTCTAATTCATTACTTCCTTGTGTGAATTCTGTTGTCTAGCAAGATGTTTTATTGAAGACCATGTGTTTACATTTGACGCCCCAGTGGCAACTCCTTTAATTGACTTGTACTATGTGTTCTCAGTTCAACCAGATACCTTTCGCGAAATTCTCAAATCACTACCACATAAAAGGAATTCTTAAGTACATGCTTAGGACATGTAAATTACATAAATCCATAAGTGAATACACGTATTCCTGATATTGGTTGTTTGAAATCAACTTCTACAAACAACAGAGATAGCAGTAAGTAGTAACAACCGTGGTAGTTCTGCACCATGCCCTCATTAAGTCTTATGTTTGATTAGGGCTACCAAATTCTAGGCTTCAATAAAAACCATATAATAAACCTTACCCGTGTTGCTGGGAGGAAAGCTTGTGCTATACCTGTTCAAAGGGGCTTCCATATGTAGCAGACCTACAGTTTCGCAAACTAGAATGTGTTGTCTTTTCCAGGATATGGACATTTCAATCAACACCAAAAAGAAACTTGGCAGACAATTTGAAGCTTGATCGCGAAAAAACAACAAAACATAAATGATCAACATGAAGAGTTTTGTTAACATCAATATGGGCTAATGTGTGCATAAAACGGATTTTCAATACATGTCCAAATGGTGAGCTTGGCATAACATGACCATAGGTGGTGTTATGTGTCACCCACGTAGAGCGTGTGGCCGGAATGGCTTGAATGTAGGCAAACACTCTGCTACGCACTGAATTCGTTAGTCACCTGACGGAATGGATCGCTATTCTTCATGGAGGGCCACAATGAGTTCATCCTGGGTAATTGGAGGTTGTCGCTGTCTGTCCATGATATCCCAAAGATACTCTATGTGATTAAGGTCTCGAGAACGAGCTGCCCAGAGAAACACATGAAAAAGAACATACTTGCAAAATGCTGCAGTCATTACATGGATTCGTATTCTGCAGGGTTTGAGGATTGGATTTGGCTTTGTTACGTTTATCTAAAAGTGTCTGTCATTCAACAATTTAATGTTTTTAGTTGCCAAGTTTCTTTTGGGTGTTAGTTTCAATCCCCAATAAGCCTAATAGCAGATCTGAAATGTATATAATGGGAAAATAATTTTTCCAGTGAGCACTAATGTAGATTCCCAACAGTCTGCAAGTAGAGGCCTCACAGACAAGTGAATTGTTCACCTGAAGAAAACACTCTAGGAACATATGGTGGAGGGTGAAGGGTTGCCTCTGACATCTTTTTGGCCGAGACCATAAGTGGAGCATGAATATATTTGCAATGTCAAAGGAGAGATATACCATGAAGTATTAAACTACAGTGAAGTATTATGCTTATTTATATTTCTTCTCTTTGATATATTGCTATAATAGTTTCATCTTTGTGTACATTGGATAACTGTGAAGACATTTCACACGTCAATATTCAAAGGTCTACAAATTTGTTATCTTGTACGGATTTAGTTAGTCATGATGCAAAACATTTTCGGGTTTGTGACTCAGTAATCATTTAACTAGAATAATATACCTGACCAGGTAAGTTCAATCATAACACCAGAGCCTTACACAGCTTGTATAACGCATGAACTAAGATTAGGTGTTACTACTTGTAAATCAGTTACTTTATCTATTCCAGGCATGTGACAAATGTAAACAGTACAGTATAGAATCCAACAAAAGGTACAGGATCCTGTGTGTGCATCTTGAGGTGACTATTTTCAAGAGGAGTTGGCACAACAACAAAATTCAATACCTCAGTTCAACACAGAAACAGCATAAGAAAAACGAGATAAAAAGCTCTGTCTCGGCCCTTAGAAATTCGGGGGGACATCTTCTAATTCACTTAGATGGCCGGAGTCCACAAGACCTGAGTTTGGAACACCTTGACGACTTCATCGATGATGACCTTCAAGCCATCATCAATGCTGATGAAACATTTGATGATGTTTATTACAAAACCACATTCCAGGATGATCGTGAATTTGTGATAATTGACATTCAGCCTTCACCAACAATTATTATAACGGATCCTAAGACTAAATTTATCATCGACAAAGGGTTCATACCAGATAGTCCACAAGCACTGCAAGTCTTTTTGAAACGAGTATCAGAGCAGCAAAATGATTCAAAAGTTCATTTAGAGCAAAGAGTACCAGTCTTGAGTCACATGACATTAGAAACCATAACGGAAAAAAGAGATATTCAGCTGTAAGGATTTGTTTTTCAACCAAGTCGGCACGAGAAGAAGGAAACAATTTTGAGAGACCCAAACCAGTTTGTTGACTACTTGCGGAGCCTGCATCTTCCTCTCTATGTCAGTGCTTTTGCAAAACTCAAGAAAGGAGGGTCTTTTATCCTTGGCACAGAAGAGAAAGAAAAGAAAGTTGATACCAACATCAAAGGGAGGGAAGTCCAGTATTTGTGTAAACAATTTGAAGTTCGTGGAATTAAACTGGCTTCAGACAAACATACTGAGCTCAAGCAATTAATAGAGAGGTGTTTGAAAGATGACATGTGTCTCATTGACTACAAGGGAGACAAATTAGATTGGCCTGACAGACACATCAGTGTTGACTTTTACAAAGCCAATGTAAAAGACCATACATTGCTTGAGGTTGTCGTGAATCCAATCACAGGAGTATTGTTTTATGATAACAGTGGTCCAGAAGCATACGAGGTCGTACACGGAGAACCATTTCTTAAGTATACTCGATGTGAGCTCAAGAAAATAATCGCATCAATAAGGAGACATTAGAAAGGTATGGTTGTCTCAACTTTTCAGTACTTTTGAGAAAAAGTTATTATTCATTTGGGGGCGCAAAACAACCTAATTAGCGTGAATGAAAGTGTTTGGTTCAACATCACATTGAACCGTATTTGCCAGAGAATACGTAGATATCATTATCTTAAGCTTAGGTCAAGCTGTTGTATCTTAAAATATCGTATTTGGGTAGTAAACTGTCTTTTGTTTACATATATATACTTCAGTGGGATTTCAAAAGGTTTTACGGTGGACATGTGGAGGACATTTCGAAATTTCATGTATCATTGACAAAAATGATGTCCAATTTCCCTATTTTGACCTGTATCATACGTTCCGGAATTATTTCAGGTGGACAATAGTGTAGACATTGCATATGTTTATGACGGATGCCACCGGTTGGGCATGATACGCTAACCTTTTCGCGAACACCTGATTCATAAACACATGCTCTGTCATAGTATCGCATGGTGAAAATCACTGGATTGTCTGGTCCAAACTGGATTGGTTTACAAGCATCATCGTAAGCTGTAACACTTCTGAAACAAATATGTACTCATGATATAGTCATAATTGTACAATCGACTCTGCTTTTAGCACATATTTCTTATGGATGTGGAAAGGGTTTTGTCGCTTCTATTTGTTTGTTTTTTATTTGGAACAGGAATATCTACAGATATGTCAGGAAAGATGTTACCAAATCAAGCAGTTTTACGCGATGCGAGTAAAGAAAATTTCTTTTCTGAAGTCCCGATAGCCACAAGTAATCCTTTCCGCCCTGCAGTATATGCAACTGGATACTTTTGGAAGAAGATGTCTGAACGACTTGAAAATGGTTTGAGTTGGTTCATTTATCTTTAGATTGCTAAACTGGTGACATTTTGGGAGAAGCCGTCCGAGAGATTTCATAAATGCATTGGTTCATTTATGTTTCGATTGCTGACATGAGACACCTGACGATATATCAGATTTGGACGAGATCTTCCTCGGAAAGCTTACGTGTGTTAATGTGTTGACAGCTTTGTAGGCTGTGCCAGGACAGATCTGATGTACTTGTATGATTTAGACTGATAGTTAATGAAAATATGCTTCAGACCCCTGTGGATCTAGACATCTCTTTGAATAGACATGCTCTGAACATGGTCTCGATTGTAGCCCTTTTTACTCCTCTTGCAATAGAGTTAATATATGGCATTATCCAGATATTATACTATTAGCATATTTTACATATATTCTAGATATCAACCTGCTCCCCGAGGGTACAGGCGAAAGGTGGAAGACGGAAATGCAAATCCTTCTTGGTACCTCAAAGATGGGATTGATATACATGGGAACATCGCTTGCAGAGATGCTAAATTTGCAGCTGACGGACACCAGCGTGGAAGGAGTTGCTTTTGATGCCTGTGTAATCGCATCGGATCAACCAGTTCAAATTCTCTCCTTTGTAAGAAACGACGTAAAAAACACAGACCGTACCCTCATTCAAAGAAATGACGAATTGGCCAAGGGTGTCCTGTATTCATTAATGGAATTTACTGATGAAAAGATTAACATTGCAAATGGGGTACTTGATATAGATGATCTGGGGAACAGAGTAGATTTTGAAGACAAAAGGAACGCTCTAATAGAGAAGTCATGTCGTTATGTCAATCCCAGGTCACTTGAAATGAATCCCAGGAATGCAAGAATTTATGCAGGGCCTTCTTCGTGGCCTCAGGTGTAGAGCACACGTCCACCCGGACATCTTCAGACCCAATAGTCCTGCTAAAGTGGGATGTCTATATGAACAAATACCTCCATGAACCAAAGGTACATGAGAATCATGCAGCCAGCGAAACAGGGAAAGAGTTTATCAAAAGGTTGTCAAACTCAGGCACAACAATACGTGACGTGAAAATACCAAAGTGAGTGCAATAACATATATTTGGCTAGTTAAATGTTTACTCCTTATGTGACCTGGCTGAAATGCTGCTTCTTGAAGGTCCAGGTTGGAATAGATGTTAATCAATCCACGCTTGTCAAAAAAGACGACAAATGGGATCTTGGTTAATGTACGACACCATCTCCCAATTGCACAGATCGATGTTAATGATTTTATTTGCTGTGTTGTTTGGAACCGTCTGACAGACCGGTTTAGTGTGATTAACATAGAATGTTGCTAACCGCTGTGAGCAACACTAAACTACGAACGAAACTGCACATAGGCCTTCAGGCAGGCTACCTTTGACCATGACCAGCCCTGACAATGTATTTTAACATGAATGCATTTTGGCATTATGACTATTAATGAAAGTCATATACAAATTAGTCCGAAAAACAGATAGAGTTACTGCAATAAAACACAATAATAAATCTGTAGGGATAAAATGTTTCTATCTGAAAATCTCGCTGAAGTGAAGAAAAATGCCAAAAATGTCAGGAAGTAGGTATGTCATAAATGGATAATTTGACTTGTTTGACCAAAGATGCAGACTGTAACCATAGGTATAACATATATAAAGTAATAGGTGATAATCATGAAAATGAGTTCCTCAGGCCAAAACAGTTGAATTTTATTCACTTTTCAGAAAAGACACCACCCCACGCAATCCTGACTTCCTTGAACATGATACCCACTCGGAGATTTACATGGATGGTGAAGAAGTATCTCAGAATGATGGTGACTAAAACTCTTTTATATGTAAAATGAGTTTTAAATATATATCCCCAAAGAATACAGTCCGGCCCTGCATAATTGTGGGAAGTGAGAAAACCTACAGAGACCAAGTTTGTAGGTTTATAAATGTGAAACTGAAACACAGCACAAATGACCTATTGATTCAAAAATTCCAATATCCTGAACACGTACACGAAATCTTGTGTTACCATTGACGTTTTTCTTTCAGGAAAACCTTCTACCGGACATGTTCCATTTTTAGAAGATTCTGGTCGTCAACAAATGTGGAATGAATCCTTGAGGGTTGAAGTTCCATTGACGGGACTGCAGAGCGTACCGGGTGTGTTTGCCTGAAATAACATACATGTATGCCATTGGGAGCCACGACATTTCTCAAACATATTAAAAGATCCAAAAATGACTTTGTTCTACAGAGAACGTCATTCAGTAACTAATTATTACTCAAGATCCCACTCCCCTCGCGTCTCTGTGCACATGAATCAGATTTGGGCACATTCTAAACCAAGCTAACCCGAACTGAGCCTTTAAAATATATTTTCAACAACAATGCGACCATTTTTACAGTGAAACTCTGACCCTGAGAAGTCTGACCACGACCTTCAAGCATACGTAAACAAATCAAAACACAAAAAAGAATCATATGGATTCTACAAAATAACTAACATTTTCCAGACGCATTTGACCCATCCAGGCCATAGACCAAGCTGCTATACATAATTTCCTAGCCACTAAAATTTTTAAATCATCATTTATCACATATCCTGAATCAGTTTGAGCAATAACAACACTAAATACCAGAAGCAAACCTCTCCAAAGAAGCCTGAAAATCCCCCGCCCACAATCCCATACTATTTCATCTCACCCTTTCCCTACCCCATAAAACCTTTTTTTTTAATGGTCGTCGCCCCTTTTGTACATCCCCTGGGTCTTTTTCTTTCAAGTATCCCTATCTCTCAGGTTAAGACTGACAGAGCTGGTACCCTTCCAGGTTAGTACCCTCGCTGTCAGGGATTTAGATCCGTCAGCGTGATCTACGTGATACCCAGTGATTCCTGGAACTATGTTCACCTTGAATATCTTTATGATTGTGTGACTATTTTCCTGTGTAAATGTTTTTTTCATGTATTCTTCACAAAATTTCTCCATGTATCTTTTTGTTGTCGTTTGTCGCCGACCTCCATGTTTACTTTATTTGCTATTGTGTCCTTGCTCTTAGGAGTTTTATCAAGTATTAAATTGATCTAGGTAGAATAGTGGAAGTTAATTAAGCACCCAAAAACATATTTGATCCATGTCAATGATGTCATTGTTTGTTCACTTTGAAAGGGTTTGCCAAAACGCAGCCGACATGTATGTGAAACGTGCTACCCTCTCTTATCATGAAAAGCAGTATCTCTGCCTAGTTGCCGTTCAAGGCTATAGAATTTAGGAATATGCCATCCGTTCCATCCACACACGTCAACATGCCGAGGAGCAGACTTTCATTGCGACTGAGACAGACAGTGGGTATGCATGCAGCTGGCATGTCATTCAAGGCCATGGGCGTCAGCTTGGGTACTGCCTCTCATCAGTCGACCTATTCGGACACACCAACAAACAGGTGCCGTCAATATCGACCAAGACCAACCCAGGAAGGCCATTCCAGCGGAAGGTCACAATATGGCCCGTTACGCAAGGCGTCACCAGGCGTCTCACTCTGACTCATGAACAGAAAAGGCAACGTCAGCAGTGGTGTTTTGCCCGATGGCGATGGAATCCTCGGACCTGGAGATGAATCCATTAGTCATATGAAAACAGGTTCCTGCTTTATGTTACAGATGGCTGTCTTAGAGTTTGGTAGCGCACTAACATTGCTCATTGACACTCCACATTCATTCTAGCGTTCCCTTTGGTGGGGGCTCAGTTATAGTGTGGGGATGTGTCTCCCATGACTGTAACTTGACATTGGTGACTTACGGAGAAATCTTGGTGACCACCACTACATTCCGTAAATTCTGGATCAAGCTGCTTTGCGTCATTTTGATAACCCATTAGCTACCCGCCCCATATATATAACACTGGGCCACATCGTTTCCGTGCTGTGGGAGAGCTATTAAGACTCTCCCTTGACCTGCAAGGAGACCTGATCTGAACCCCACCGAGCACAAATGGGACATTCTTGGTTGACCTTTGCAGGCAAAGAACCCTCATGTAACTAATTCGGGTGCACTGGAGGCAGCATTGCCTGAAGAGTGGCGTGGATTGCCCGGGGGACATATTCGTAGACTCACTGGTGGTATGTGGAGGATGTTATCCAGGCACGAGACGGATACACAAGATACTGGTGTCAGACTCCTCGTTAGAATATAAAGGGCCTACACAGTAGCGAAATCCAGCACTAACCCATGTCTCATGCCAGGACAATACGTATTCAATGAATTGCTTTTCCACAAAATCAAGAGTGTTGTCCTTTCTCACATACAGAGCATACAAATTAACATATTGCGTACATTTTGTTGTTTTTATGCGGTCAGTTATTCAATCTCCTTCTAGAAGTATGGAAGTTCTGATATCTTCTGTTCATATTACTGTTCTAAAACAGGGGAGTGCTTAATTAAGTTTCATGTGTATTTATATGCTACCTTATTCATGTATTGAACATGTTTTTTGTAACTTTGTGTAACTACTTATTGGTGGAATTGTACACATGAAAAAATGTATTGCAACACCCCGGATCTTTCATAGTATCAATATTTTGCCATTAACCATCATCCAAACCCAAATTTAACACGCTATCTGGATTTATTGACCATCTATGAATAACTAAATGGCAAAACTAAATGCAAGAGAACGAAAAACTGTTGTTCAGTAAGAAGCAAACAATATTCATTTAGAGTGCTTATTACTAAGGTCGTATGGTGTTAACAAGTGCGGTCATTTTCAATCCTCAAGAAATCCCAGAAGTATGAATAAAAGCAGACAATGTCTATATCTGGTGTAATCTCCACCAACTGCAATAACATCCCTGACTCTCGTCCTCACTGACACGTTGTATGCATTAGCGGATCCAGAGAGAGAGAAGGGGGGTGGGGGGTGTCAGGGGGTTCGACCCCCCTTTTGAAAATGACCTAAGACCACATTGACGATTTTTTTGGCGTTGGCTGAGCCAAATTGGGGGTTCAGGGGTCCTGACACACACACACACACACACACCCCCCCTCCTCCCCTTTGTTTTCAGAATTCCTGGATCCGCCCATGGTATGGTATGGGACGTTGTATGAGACTTTGGATTTGACATTGAGGTACACATTTCATCCTTGATAATGGACTTGTTCAAATACATCAAGACTTTGTTCAAGGGGATCTCTCTGGCGTATTCTGCGATCCATAACCTGCCAAACATGCTCTATGGGATTGCGATCCGGACTCCTGGCGGGCCAAGGTAGAGTTGCTACTGCCTCTTGACGCAAGAAATCCAAAACGTCACGTGCACCATATACCAAGCATTGTCGTCCATGACGAATTGCCTTGTATTAAGGGGATTGGCATCCAAATATGATGCAACAACCTCGTCTAAGGTCTCAGTGATGCACCGTTGTCCATTCAGATTTTGTCTAATCGTCACAAGGTCATGTTTAGAGGAATGTGAGAGGCACCCAGCGTTTCTACCGCGCCAAACACGTGCTCGGCCATCAGTCATAAACAAAAAAGAAATCGACTTTCGTCCGACCGGTCAACCCTTATCCATGACTTGAAATCCCAGTGATGTTGAGCTTGACACCAAGTTAATGGTTCTGATTTGTGTTCTGATAACAGGATAACAAGACAGGTCTAGGATAACGTCTGATGGGTGTTGCGATACTTTTCACGTGCTTTTATTTTCATGTTTGTTTTCTAAAACATTACACATATTTATGCGTAAATATTTACTTGCACAGTTGTGTAACCTGTGCTATATTTAGATATTTACATCTTCTATATTGATTTTGTAGTTATTGTGCCCTTCGGATTTTCACTTACTGAATCGGAGTTTCTCTTTGTAAAGAAAGTTTTGCCTCAGGTTGCAGCCTTACCTTGGTGTCCAATCTGGGTTGTCTCCTATGTCGTCCGCGCCTTCGTTTAAAAGACTTGGAGGATTCGGAGCCTCTAACACCACTCGGGTGCGTCACATCTCTGGATGGTCACTCGAAACTGTCTGTAATTAGTTTAGGAGGCATTTTCGCCTTAAGGTAATTTCTTTGACTGGTTTACTGAGCTGAACTGTTAGCTAGCTTTTGTTGAATTCCGTCTTTTCTAAATTCCCGTGGTTGTCTAGATCAGGTTAAGTACCTATTTGCTGCTGAGAGTTACTCATTTAACCTGGCAACTTTCTTAATGTTTGTGTGTATAATTTGAACCCATGTCGTATTTTGTTGGGAAATTTAGTTTCAGTCAAAGGAACTGATGTTTTGGTGTTTTCAGACGTTTCTCAGTTACTTGATTGTCCAGGCATCTGTGTCTGTTTCTCGCTAGCTAACCCAATCCATCAGCCTTTAGGTATAAACTGGTTTCTATCTATTTTATTGGTTGTCTACGCATCCAGTCATTACCTTGTCAAAGTGTTGCTTTGGATGTCATTGTTTATTAGTCTACCGTAACTTGGCTCACACATTTATCCTGACAATCAATAATCCTTATCAAGGTGAATTGAGCGTTTTGTAATGTTTCTTAATACCATTAGCTGATAATAACAAAACATATACGACTTTGTTTTAATAATGTCTTTATATTTGTTTCATAACACTCAGTTTGTAGTGTGCACGACACCGTGACCTACGTCTTTTGTTGTCGACTGCCATAGTCGAGTGGTGGTGGTGTCTTTTGTTTTCAATATATTTACATATTTTTTTAGAGATTATACTTAAAGTTTTTAAATTATGTAATCATATCATGTGTTTGTAAGTTTTAACACAAATATTGTTGATAGAATATATTCACAGCTTTTTAATAATATCATTATACATGTGAGTATGTTTTCACAAGAATGTTGTTGATGGTATGTATTATCATTGTTTAAAATAATGTACTTTCTTAATCGCAATAGAAACTGTGCATCTCTGAGGTTATGTGACCAAAATATTATTACAAAATTGATCATAACGTTACTTGACCGCCCTGTTGTGAAATCGACATTGGTATGGAGGTTTAACATGACCAGTCATACTTGTATCAAGTACCTCACGTACATCACGTACATCACCATTGGATAACCATTTCTTCCTGGCTCCACTGAAAATGGACGTATGCTTTCTTTTACCATGCAGTCTACACATGTATTTATGTCAGTTTCAACATGAATATACTGTGCATAAAATTAGCTTGAGAATGTATTTTTGTATCTGTGCATTGTGATCGCATATTACTATCGGTGATGGCGATGAGAAAGCAAAATAGCACCGACTGTACCACTGAGCGTTGGAGAGTTGTTTCCCTTTTATTGAGGGTAGGATATGGTATATCCTCCGCCATCTGTTTGCAGTTGATCCGTTGCATTGACCTTTGTGATTGTAAATTTAAAACGTCATGTTGGATTTTTTGGTGAATTAATTTTGTGTTTGGTAGTTGGAACTCACCAATCTAGAACATCTCAGATTTATCCAATTATCCCATATGCACTTTTATATTCCCACATAGATACGGCAAACTACTGTTGCAACTTATGTCTTATGGGTTGGTTTTATTTCATTGCTCTTTTGTACGGTTTATCAAATAATGATTTTTTTGTAGTTTTGCTTATGGTATTTATTGTTTTGTTTTTGTGTGCTTTGTTGCTGTGATTTTTTCTTCTCTTTTCAATTGTATGTATAATGACACCCTGTATCAATCTGTGTCAATAAACTTTACAGCCCACAGATTAATTTCGTGTTATATTTCATCATTATTTCCTTAAAATGTACAGTAATCTACCGTTAGATCGAACTTAAAGGTACCATGAAGTTCAGTTAGTCAAAATCCGTTGTACGCATTTCGACTAATATAAAAGTGACCGTGACTAAAAGCTAAGTTTGGTACATCCGTCAGTTCGTAATAAGCATGTTCGGGATAAACGTAGTTTACTATAGCAGGATCTGGATGTTCGTATAGGCAAGGATTTGGTGTAGTGTCCTGGTCGAAAGTGACATAATCATCTCTGTGGCTTGCAGTGTCAACAAGTGATACACGTTCATATGAAACAGGGTCGGTGAGGTAGCCTAGTGGTTAAAGCTACCTCACCGTGATACGTATACCGATGGCCCGGGTTCGATACATGGGTACAATATGAAGCCCATTTTTGGTGTCTTCCGCATGATATTGCTGGCATATTGCTGAAAAACTAAACTCACTTACTCTGTTTGTGTTGTAAACGTAAGCCTCATTCGCTGTACACTGATAAGTAGACAATGGTAAATACAGGTTAACCATTGGTACACATGCACCCTTGCTTGATAGTGTCCGATAAGAGTTTACCAGAAGGGAATCTCCAGAATATCATAGGACATGAAGTGTAGTACACATTAATAATAATGCTTCTACTGTACCAGGCTGGGCGCCGGTGAAGCTGTATACAGCGGAACCTTGTTAATATGGACAAGGAGTGAAATCGCGTTCCGCACAAACTCCCATTAACGTTGTTGCTATGGACTTTTCCCAGTTTGGAAACAATCCGAAATGATGACTGCATAAGAAATTTCCAGGGACCAAACTTTTACTTCGAGACAGACCCGTGAAGATCCGGGGTAGAATAGGTCTTCAGCATCCCATGCTTGCCACAAAAGGGGACTATGCTTGTCGTAAGAGGCGTCTAACGGGATCGAGTGGTCAGGCTCGCTGACTTGGTTGACACATGTCATCGGTTCCCGATTGTGCACATCGATGCTCATGCTGTTGATCACTGGATTGTCTGGTCCAGACTCGATTATTTACAGACCGCCGCCATATAGCTGAAATATTGCTGAGTGCGGCGTAAAAAGTCATTCACTCACCTCGAGACAACCGTTATTTCGACATACATGTATTAAAGTTCGACACAGCCGTGACATTTTCAGATTAGCGTGATTCTTCCCAACTAATGGTCTCCGCTATTGATAAAGCGCTCGTAAAATATTTCATTGTGGCATACGCAAACCACATGCCATCCACAGACGATGAGATGACAATGTTGCACTAATACGGTAAAGTTCAATTAAAAAAAATACCAAATAAAAACAATTGTTCTTGGGTGTTGTAATCGCTCCAAATTACGAAATGCGGGTTTTATCTCGCCTTTTATACTCAGTTCACACGCAACAACGAATACAAATCCCTTATAAATCGTTCAGCTGTGACTCATAATTGCGTACGTATTTCGATACGTGACAATGCCGTAACGATAGAATAGTTTTGTCATCCAGTGAATGTATGTCTCACTGTTAGTGATCGATGCGGTTGATCAGCTGTCCATGAAGAGGAATTCCTCCCTTCCTGAACATATGCCACAAACAGGATACTACATACACATAGTGCCCTAGCCGCCCGTCATCTCGTTTAATGCACACACAATGACACAATGCACACACAAACATACACACACACAGAAATTGGAGAGAGAGAGAGAGAGAGAGAGAGAGAGAGAGAGAGAGAGAGAGAGAGAGAGGGGGAGGAGAGAGAAGAGGAGAGGGAGGGAGGGAGAGAGAGGGAGAGAGAGAAAGAGAGAGAAAACAAACACACGCAACATATACAAAGACACACACAAAAACACAAACACGGACATACACACAACCACACAGAGTGAGAAACACACACACATACCATTGTGATACCACAGATATGCATAAAGAATCTCACACAGGAGTCTAATGATATAAATTAGTTACACATATACGAGGCTTATGCCCCTGGCCCGTGAAGATCCGGCTTAGAATTGGCCTCGTAAGCGGCGGCTTACAGGATCGGGGATCCGACTCGCTGACTTGGTTGACACATCGTAACCCAACTGCATAGATCGATGCTGATGATGTTGATCACTGGATTGTTTGGTCCAGGTTCAATTATTTACAGACCGCCGCCACATAGGTTGAGTATTGCTGCTAAACAACATACACGCCAAGAACACACTCTGAATACAACGCGAGCCTAATATCCTCCTTTATGTCAGTCTCCCGTTTCATTGTTCATGGTTAGTTCATATCGTTACTCAATTCCCACGTATTGTCTTTCAAACGCTTATCCCTGCTATTCCCGTGCGGAAGAATGCAGTTTGATCCCGATCACGGAAAACATTCCTTCCGCCCACCATTTCGTAGAATGTTTTAACAGATCCACTGAAACGAATTACCTGGATAAAGCACGAAGGAATTGTGAAATAAAATCATGAATTTGTTCACCCTTATAATCGTTACCCCTTTCTGTATACCTCCAAGAAGACTCCTCCGCCTGCTTCTTATATGCGAAAATACGACAAACCAAGAAGAACGCGCGTAATGATTGCGGTGCTTTGATAAAAATAATCCCGAGTACTTAAATCGTTTATGACATTATGTGATTGTTTTAAAAAATCATGAAAAATACAGATCGTCATAGTGAAGAGACAAAGAACATAGCCAACAAAACTGTGTTGCCTCATGTGAAGTTTTTAATAAGAATCATGTGATTGACGATGAAGGATTCGAATACACGCACGTGCGTTTGTTTACATAACGGCACTCATGGGTCCATTGGAGTGTACTTCTGGTGATCTTGCGGGCTTGTTTTGGATATTGTACGTCCGCTTTCCAACATTTACAGGAAATGTCATTGTAAATCGTTCGAGTTTAAAAAAACAACAAAACAAAACAACAACAACAACAAAACACACACACACAACAACAATAATATATCTTTTACATTGAGATTATATTTCACGTCTCTGGGGACGAGTCTTCATTGATGTTACGGAAAGGGGCGAGTGGTGACGAATGTCTTCTTTTAGAAAACACAGTTTGTGTATTTTTCGCTTCAATGACGAAATGCCTAAAACAAGCGTGAACATTTTGTTTACATCGGACATGTTAGTGATCTCTCACGTAACCCCAATGTTCAAAGTGAGTGAATACGCTTTTTAAACCCGGGAGGTATTTAGGTAGGTATGAGGTAAGCAGAAGTCCTGATGACGTCACTCATGTATTAATGCACCATTACAATAACAGCAACAAAGTACGCATTGATTCGCTGTTAGGGTGTGTAAACAGATTGTTATTCACGTATCTGTCAGATAGCACTTATCACACAACTCCTGAAGTAATCTTTGTCTTAACATATCTAGCTTTAGCTCGTCAGACACATTTTGAGGAACATTTCGTGACAATAATCCCCTTCCATTGTTCACCCGTACAGAGAGAAAGAGAGTATGGTTTCACGAAATCGGCTTGGGGAAACGAACTTGCGTCGTCGCCACAACAACGCAACACACCACAACACACTAACAAACACCACTTCACACCACACCACTGCAACCCACATCCCAGTGTGTCCCCTTCCCCTTACTTAACACAAAAAGTGCAGCTACTCCGCTCAACACAACACCCCAAACGAAGCACCACACCACATCACACCAAACCATAACACCACTCTACACCATACCACACCACCCACACCACTCACTCACCAGCCCAGACCACACACCACCACACCACTCACCAGCCCAGACCACATACCACCACACCACACCACTCACCAGCCCAGACCACACAAAACCACACCACTCACCAGCCCAGACCACAAACCCACCACACCACTCACCAGCCCAGACCACACACCACCACACCACACCACTCACCCCCCAGACCACACACCACCCACACCACCACCACCCTCCAGACACACACCACCACACCACACCACACCACTCACCCCCACCACACACACCACCCACCAGACCACACACCACCACACCACAACACTCACCCCCCAGACCATACACCACCACACCACACACTCACCAGCCCAGACCATACACCACCACACCACACAATTCACCCCCAGACCACACACCACCACACCACTCACCAGCCCAGACCACACACCACCACACCACACAACTCACCAGCCCAGACCACACACCACCACCCCACACCACTCACCCCCAGACCACACACCACCACACCACACCACTCATTCCCAGACCACACCACACCACACCACACCACTCACCAGCCAAGACCACACACCACCACACCACACCACTCACCCCCAGACCACACACCACCACACCACACCACTCACCCAGTCCAGACCACACACCACCACACTCAAACACCTCTCTGTCGTCCTTTGACGTCATAGAAGAAAATCCATTTTGACATTTATTGCGAGTCATTTTTAATGTTGAGCGTATAATAGCGTTAATGCATAAACAAATAAACCCATTTCATGTATACTTATGTCGTTCAGATATCAGGCTGTAATTTATTCGCTCACACTTTCTGTAAAGATGCCAAATTAAAAAATCGTAGCACAGTGCTTTCACCGGTGCACGATCAAAGTGGAGAAATTTACTGTTTTTAAATGCATAGCAAAATTTTGGACATCATTTAGCAGTGCTTATTTCTCAAACCGCCGAGGTATTTGCATTTATACTTATACCAACGGATGGGAAATTTAATATTCCACGTTTCTGTGTAATTTTATAGCTGTACACGCAGATCCAGGACCACGCGAGGCGCAAATCTCGCACAACATTCACTTTTCAAACCTTATGAAATTGTGCGCCTGAAAAAACCCTCAGCATCAAAAGGACTTAAGACTGGTAGGTAGCAGTTTCAGGATGTAAGACAAAAATGATCTCAGTCTTAACTTTTTAGAGACTAAAAATGTACGTGATCCCCGATTTAAGACAATTTTTGGACTTAA